CTCTCTGCCATACAACATCTTTGGCTGGTTCAAAATTGCATCTCAGCAAAAGAGATGATGGATACTCTGACTGTATCTTTTGAAGGAACTGAAGAAGTCAAGGCTACTCAAATAAATGATCTTAATCGAAGGTATGAACATTTTTTTGCTAAAAAGGTGAAACCTTGACTCAAACTTTTAACAGATTCAATACTCTTGTTAATGATCTTCGGAGACTAGATCAGTTGAAGCATAGAACTGTTCTAGTGCAAAAGTTTTTGGATTCTCTGGGTGCAGGTTGGGAGAATCATGTTGATGTGCTGAAAAACAGTGAGAAGATCAACTCTATGGACTTACAAAGTCTCTATGGAAATCTTCGATACTATGAAGAATCCAAGCTTCAAAGAAAGGAACTGATGAAAGATTCTCAGCGTGAATCCTCTGTAGCCTTGTTCTCCAACAAAAAGCTGGTGTCAGATTCAGACACTGAAAGTGATTCAGATACTGATTCATCTAAAACTGACACTGATGATCTTGAAAAGGTTGTGGCAAGTGCAGCCTTGATTGTGAAGACCTTTGAAAAATCAGGTCGAAACTTCTCAAAGTTTCAAAAGAAGATGGGTGGAAAGTTCTCAAAAGGGTCAGGAGCTGATAAAAGGCATGGTGCTGATAAGAAAGAGAAGGCTCAGTGCTTTAACTGTGGGAGCACTGATCATTTTGCAAAGGATTGTAAACAAAAGAAACAAGGCTCAGATGAATACTGGAAGCAGAAGTACAACAAGCTGATTGAGAAGCTGAAAGCTGAAAACTTGGAACATAAAGTGCTTGTAGCTGAAGAAGAAAAATGGAAAACTGATGAAGAGTCATCAGATGATGAAGTCAAGTGTCTAATGGTCAAAATGAGGACCCGGCTATTTCTGATAAAGACAAAAGTACTTTTGACACTGATATGTCTGATGCTGAAAATTCCAGGAAGCACAACATTGACTCTTCTTCAATGTACCAGGTTAAAAACTTTGTTTCCTATTCAATGAATGAAAAAATCAAAATGTTTGAGTATTTGGGTGTCATTAATTCTAAGAAGAATCAAACCATAAGAAATTTGCAAAATCAAATTGATCTTCTTGAAACTGATATATCCATGAAAAATAGTATTATTGAGTCCACTCAGGAAAATCTTAGAATTACTAGTTTGTCAAATTCATCTTTGTCTGCTGAAATTGATGATGTTAAAAATCTTTTGATCAAAGAACAAACTGTGCTTCACACTTGGGCAAAATCTCATAAGAATGCTAATTATATTATTTCAGCTCAAATTCCACATTCTTGTGAGAAAATTCTTGGGGGTAATTTTGCAGAAGCTGAAAAAGTTTTTAAATCACAAGAAAAGGAATCTGAGGTCTATTCCATGAATGTGATGAAAAACAATTTCAAAAATAAGTTTGTCAGTAACTCTTTTATTAATCAAAGTTTAATTGATGAATATTGCATTACTAATTCTGATGGTATCACTGAGTGTAATGTTGAAATTACCGGAATTGATCCTACCTCTTATCCTGCACATCTTGTTAGACCAATCCCTCTAACTGAGAATATTATTGCTTTTCCTATCTCAAATGGAGTGTTTCATGCTGTTCATGAACAACTCAAGCACTTCCCTGATTGCAATCCATCTGTGAATGAGTCAAAATCAGATACTGATAGTTTATCACCTAACACTGATCAAACTCCTCCTGATACTGAATTCAGTCGTGACTCAATGATAAGCAAAAGGACTCAAAGCTCTCTTGGTGAATCTTACATGTCAAAATGTGTTAAATCAAAAAATTTGCTCACCAAGAAGAACTTTGGTACTAGAGTTTGTTACAGATGTGGTAATTCCTCTCACAAGATCAGTGAATGTTCTTTTGATAAATCATCCTCAAGAGCTGAAAATATTAAAGTTAGAAATGAAAAATGGACTCTTAAGTCAAACTCTTTAAACTGTCTTCCTAAGGAGTGTTATAATCTATTATCAAATAACTTTGTGAATGACCCATCTTTGAATGGGTCAGTGTGTTCTAACTAGTTTCTCAGTACTGCAGGGTCAGGAGCATCTTTGGTATTTAGATAGTGGTTGCTCAAGGCATATGACGGGATCAAAGTCTCTCCTGGAAGATTATGTTAAGAAAACTGGTCCTGCAGTTACTTATGGAGACAATGGAAAGGGGTTCACTAAGGGATATGGAAACATCAAATGCAATAACGTGGTTTTTCAAAACGTTTCATATGTAAAGGGTCTCAAACACAACCTCATTTCTATCAGTCAGTTGTGTGATGCTGACTATGAAGTTCACTTTACAAAGAAGGAAGGAAGAGTTGTAAACACTGACAAGAACATCGTACTCTCAGCAAGTAGAAAAGATGATATATATATGTTCTTGACATGTTCTCAAGTGACAAGGCACTGATGCAATGTTTCTTTACAAAGTCTCAGACGAATCTTAGCTGGATTTGGCACAAAAGGTTTTCTCATCTGAACTTCAAGAATCTATCCAAGATATCCAATCAAGACCTAGTTAGAGGGCTCCCAAAATTCAGCGTTGTGAAAGACAAGATGTGCTCAGCTTGTGAACAAGGAAAACAAACCAAGTCCTCTTTCAAACCCAAGTCATGTTCCAGTATATCAGTCCCTCTTTATCTACTCCACATGGACCTGTTTGGACCTATTCCTGTTCGTTCACTAGGTGGAAATAAGTATACTCTAGTGGTCGTTGATGAGTTCACTCGATTTACTTGGGTAGTTTTCTTGAAGAAGAAAAGTCATGCTGCACAGGAAATTATCTCACTGATTCGTAAAAATGAGACACTGACAGGTCTTAAAGTTAAGCAACTAAGAAGTGATCATGGTACTGAGTTCCGAAACTCAACTCTTGAAGAATTTTGTGACAATAAAGGAATTGGACAAAACTTCTCAGCTCCTCGTACTCCTCAGCAAAATGGTGTTGCTGAACGAAGGAATAGAACACTGATTGAGGCAGGAAGAACCTTGATGATCCATGCTGGTCTTCCTATGTCGTTTTGGGCTGAAGCTGTCAATACAGCGTGTTTTACTCAGAATCGATCTCTAATTCACAGGATTCACAAGAAGACTCCATATGAAATGCTGAAAGATCGAAAACCAGATGTATCCTTTTTTCATGTGTTCGGATGCATTTGTTATATTCTAAATCAGCGTGACCCAAGATCCAAGTTTGAACCTAAGGCTGATAAAGGTATTTTTGTTGGGTACTCATCTATTTCAAAGGCTTTTCGTGTTTTTCATGTGAATAGGCAATGTGTTGAAGAATCCATTCATGTGAAGTTTGATGAGGAATCATACACTGATGAAAAAGTCACTCATTCTCCTTCTATCTTTCAAGAGCTTCTCTCTTGTCCATTCGATGAAGCACCTTCTGCTGAAGATAAGACTGATTCCTCTGATCCTATCATTCCAGTTCCATGTTCCTTGAATCAAGATATTGCAGCCACATCAGCAGATAATTCATTAAGTGCTGATGAAACCCTTGAAGCTGAAGATTCTCCTGAAACTGATAATGTGTCAGTGTCTATCTCTCCGGAATCAGCATCAGTCATTGAACATCGAGATCATCCTGTTGATCGAATTATAGGGAATATTCATGATGGTGTCCGAACCAGATCTAGTGCACTTAATAACTTTTGCATGTATGTTAACTTTGTTTCAATGATCTTACCTGATAAAGTACACACAGCTCTTCAAGATGCTGATTGGATCAAAGCCATGCAAGAAGAACTGAATGAGTTTGAAAGGCACAAAGTTTGGACTCTTGTCCCAAGACCATCCGGGAAAACTATCACTGGAACTCGCTGGGTCTATCGTAACAAGGTTGATAAAGATGGAATCATCACTCGCAACAAGGCAAGGCTTGTAGCTCAAGGGTTTACTCAAATTGAATCCATCGACTACGGGGAAACTTTTGCTCCAGTTGCTCGCATTGAAGCTATCAGACTGTTTCTCGCATACGCATCCTACATGAACTTCATTGTCTATCAGATGGATGTGAAAACAGCATTCCTTCATGGTGTGTTAGAAGAAGAAGTATTCCTAAATCAGCCCCCAGGCTTTGTGGACAAAGATCATCCTGATTACGTGTACCGGTTAGACAAAGCTGTTTATGGACTGAAACAAGCTCCCAGGGCTTGGTATGAGACGCTGACATCGTATCTGCTTGAAAATGGATACAGACGAGGAGCAATCGACAATACTCTCTTCATCAAAAACAAAGGCTCAGACATGGTTCTTGTTCAAATTTATGTCGATGACATCATTTTTGGCTCTCCAAATGAGACACTGAGCAAGGAATTTGCAGAGATCATGTCTCAAAGGTTCGAAATGAGCATGATGGGGAAGATGACCTTTTTCTTAGGTCTTGAAGTTCAGCAACAAAAGACAGGTATTTCCATTTGTCAAAGTAAATATATATCTGACCTGCTTGTTAAGTATTCTCTCAGTGACTGCAAACCAGCCTCTACTCCAGTGTCTAAGACTGATAAGATACACGCTGATCCAACTGGAACTGATGTCAATCACTCTCTGTATCGAGGAATGATTGGATCCCTCTTATATCTCACAGCAAGTCGTCCTGATATTATGTTTGGAACCATTCTCTGTGCTCGATTCCAAGCTAATCCAAAAGAATCTCACCTCATGGCTGTCAAACGTATTTTTCGATACTTGAAGGGAACTCAAAACCTTGCTCTTGGTATCCTCGTGACTCAGCATTTGAACTTTATGGATACACTGACTCAGATTATGCTGGATGCAATTTAGACAAAAAGAGTACATCTGGTGGATGTCACTTCCTTGGCAATCGTCTCATCAGCTGGTCTAGCAAGAAACAAACATCAGTAGCCATCTCAACTGCAGAAGCTGAGTATGTTGCCGCTGGGAGATGTTGTGCTCAGCTCTTATGGATTCAAAATCAGCTTCTCGACTATGGGTTCAAGTTCTCAAAGACTCCCATATATTGTGACAACACCAGTGCCATTCAGATCACACAAAATCCTGTTCAGCACTCAAAGACAAAGCATATTGAAATCAGACATCACTTCATCAGAGATAATGTTGAAAAAGGAAAAGTTGTTCTTGAACATGTCAAGACTTCGGAGCAACTTGCTGATATCTTCACAAAGGCACTGGATTCTCAATCAACTGCTTACATTATCGGAGAACTGGGAATGATTTCCTTGTAATTAATTTTGACGTTTAATTGTGCTAATGTTTGATATTGTCTTATAAGCTGATGTACATTGTGCTGATGATGACATACTGATGATATTTGCTACTGAGCACTTTGGTTTGATTTCTTATCTTTATCTCTTCTTCAAGTCTTCTAAACAAAGTTGAATGATTCACTGTATTAAACCATACACTGATAACGACTTGAAACTCTTTGCCGATGGTTAGATCAAAACACCAAGATTTATCACACGCAACTACCCCTTCTCACCAATCTTACACTGATTCTGTGATTCAGTGTGCCAAAACACACGCTGATGAGAATCTAAAAATCTTTGCCGATGGTTAGACAAAACACCAAGATTTATCACACGCAACAATCCATTCTTTACCCTCCTCTTATTCAGTGTCTAATGATTCAGTAAGATAAACCACTCACTGATGAAGTCACAACACTCTGTGCCGATGGTTAGATAATGTAACTAGTATCTATCACACGCACCAATCTCCTTGCTAGCCCCGATTAAGCAAGTTGTACCTTGAATTGACGGAGAAATATTCTCAGCACGTAACTTTTGTGACACTGAGCTCAGCGCTTCCGCAAACACTGATTGACGTTTCACCTTCAGTCAACGGCTCTTTTATCCAACGGCTATTTTCTACTCTGACAGGTTGTTATGATGCGTCGTTTTTCTTAAGAAGATAATTATTACCTTTTTAAAAACCCCCTTTTCATTCCATATTTAAACCTCTTTCTCCTTGGTTTAATTTTTCCTTCCAAAACCTTGAACTTTTCTCAAAAACCCTAGAATTCTCAAATACTCTCCAATGGCGGCATCTCTGTTCACATACTCCTCAACCTCTCGAAGAGTCGTTCCTGCCCCAAACTCTCCTCCACTTCCAATTCACATCAAGGCAACCAATGTCGTCTTCAACCCTGACATTCCAGAGGTTCATCGAGGTCTTGGACTCGATGATTTCGTCAATTTCTTGGCTTCTTGCCGCCTTCGATATGCAATCAGTGATGTACCGTCCGAGTTCTTCCCTGAACAAGTATGTGAGTTTTACTATACTGCAACAGTTAATGAAGAAAACAATGCCATCACCGGAACCATTGGTCATGGCAGACACTCTGTCTTCATCACCGCAGAACTACTCAGTGCTGCTTTAAGGTTACCAATTTTCGAACCCTTTTCTGAACCTCCAACTATTGAAAATGTAAACGAATATTTGATCAACTGGGCTATGATCATTCAAAGGCTGGTACTCGATCAGCTCTTATTTTGCGTCAGTGCATGACCCCAGGCTGGAAGTTTTTCACTGGTGCTTTATGCAAGTGTGTGGGTCACAAGTCTCGCAGTGGTGATCAATTGAGCAATTATGAGCAACAAGTCGTCTGCTCCCTTCTTCTCAACAAAAGATTAGATTATGGGGCACTATTCTTTGATCAGCTTGTTCAGCTTCTACGTGCAAATGTGCGTGCTGATCATGTTCCCTTTCCACGCTGGATTGCCCTGGTGTTCGACAAATTCTTCGCTGCTGACTACTTTTCTCACTCTGGGAATCCAATCCAATGCCCTCGAATGTCCGTTCGTATGTATCAGGATGATCCTTTGGATACTGACATTGGAATCTCCGATAGGATGAGAGAATGGATTGCCAATCCATACACTATTCCTTCTCTCTCCACTGACACTGATGAAGAAGGTGCTGATGGTAGTCGTATGGATCGTGCTGATCAAGAGGTGGAACATCATGATGGCGGCCATTTCTCCCCTCAACTTTCTCATCACCTTACCTCGGCCACTGGCAACGCCTCCTCAGCACCACAGGATTCCATGCCTTTGGGGGGGCAACCATCACAGGGGGAACATCAGTCTCAGGGGGAGCATCCATCACCAGCACCTCACCACTACTCTCCAAGGATGCAATCTAGCTCTCCAGTTGCCCCAGGTACCTCAATGGTTCAAATTCCCGCTTCATGATTTTCTGAACTGATGTCACTGTCTCGGGACATGAGTCAGCGTCTGCTTCGTATTGAGGCTGATGTTCAACAAATCAAGGAGGTTCTCTTACTTACTCCTCCCTCTAGTCCCAAATCTAATGATGTTCAAAAAGGGGGAGATACTGATAATGATAATGATGCTGATGCTGATGATCATGCTGATGGTGAACCAAATGCTCATGCTGATGGTGAACCAAATGAGAAAGACACATAACCTACTGACAACACTATCTTTCAGCATGAATCACCCAACCCCATTCCTGAATCTGATTCTACGGGGCATAATAGTCCATCAACTTCTGAAATTCCTGAATCTGATTCTGCGGGGCATAATAGTCCAGCAGCTACTGAAAAATTGTTTGAAGACAGTGAGCATGATGAAGAACATGATGAACCTGATGATGAATGTCAAATTCTTGACATGAACTTCATTGATCCTCTCATTCCAGTTCATCAAGAAAGCTTAGATGACCTTGAAGAATCTAATCCGATATTAGCCGATCCTATTGCTGATTCCATCATTCCGGTCCAAGGAGAGGATTCGGACATTGCCAGTGAAGAATCTCATCCGTTGTCTCGAAAGCAGAAGGTAGCAGATATTGAGTTGGATCATTCTCAAACTGATACTTCTTCAACCGTGAAGAAACCCAAGTCCATTGTCAGTATTTCAAACCTTGCCACTGAATGGAACATGTCCCCTGATCAAGTCAAGCAAATTCTTGATGAAGCCAATCAAGCTCAGCTTCTAAAGAAGATTTCTCAAGCTGATGAATCTCTTATTCAGCACAAACTTCAGGCCAAGGGATCTTTTGAAGCTCAGATGCAGAAGTTCCTGGAATTTCGGTCCAAGGCTCAGTCTTCTCAACCTCCTCCTAGCTCTAGCAAGCCTAAGACTGACAGTGTTCTTGACCGGATTGATCGAAAGAGATTTGAAGATGTTTTCAATCGGCGAATGTGTGAAGATAAGATCATCAAAGTCAAAGCTTCTAAACCTCGAAACGAGAAAATCCTTACGTTGCTGATCACTCGTCAAGGTCCTCAACACTCATATACTGAAGTTGTCAAGAGGGATGAGCTGATTAGATATGGGTATTCGGAATGGATGGAAATGCTCGATCTTGCATCCAAGCAAACCTCAGCTCACTCTTCAGAACTGACATGTGCTCTTCATCTGCTGATCAAGAAAGTTCAGCGTTTGGATCTTGTTCCTAAAGAACGACCTCAGCATCAAGGCCAAAGGTCATCAGTTCCTAGATCCCGAAGAACCAAGTTTCATGTTGATGGTGAAGATGTATTGGTTCTAGACTTTGGTGCTGGTGTAATTAACAATTCACTTCCTCTAGGTGTTGATCCGGTTCAGCATCAATTCATCTCAGCTCCTGAACACGGGATGTTCTATCTAGACAAAAACAGGAGGATGTGCTTTCAACGAACTACTGATATCCCAAAGGCTCCAACCACTCACCTTGTTGGCTTAAGGCAAATGTGCATGAGTCTTCAAGATCTATCCGGAGAATTTCACATTCTTATTGCCATGGAGCTGCTGAACAGAAGACAGGAATTGCTGGACAGTCCGTACTGGCCAGTTAAAATTGAAGCTGAAGCTGAGTATGAAGAATTTCTTTCCAGAGGTGTCTTTATTTAGTTTGTTTTGAACATCATCATATTGGGGGAGATTGTAAGGTCAAACCTTGAAATATGATTATGTTTAAAATTGACTCAGCGTCAGCACATGTCTCAGCATCAGCACCAGCGTGTAACTGCTCAGTTTGTATTAGTTTAGTTTATTCAGTGCATTGTAACAAATCATGTATTTATTCTGTTTCCTTAGTTATCTTGATTTATTAGCTAGCGTATCCCTGAATTGTAGGGATTGTCTAGAATAACAGTATATATTATATTGTACAGGTTTGTGAATCGCCATGCTTTTCACAAACCCTAATCGTCGCTTTGTGCACACGATAATCTCTTTGTGAGATTATCTTTCTTAGTGAAAGTTTTTCTTCGTGAATTTCTCTTGTTCTTATTTATTGTCTTTGTTTGATATATCGATTGATCTGAAGGCCTCTTCAGTTACATAACCCATGGTTCATGGAAATGAAAGGTCATGACAATTAGGGTTTACATGGTGTAACCCTAATTGTAACATACTATATAAGCATCATATTATTCACCAAAATCGGCCACTAGTGTGTGTAAAAGAAGGGCTAGCCGATTTCATGAAGTATGGATTTCTCTCTAAGTTATTCCAAGAGCATTTGATGTTGTGTGAGCCATTTGAGGTGTCATATTTGAGGCACTAGGCACTCAAGCCCCATGGAGTCAAGCTACACTAAAAGAGGTATGTATTCTATCTATATTATTACCTAAGTATCTATGATTGTATGCTAGATAGGGTAATACCTTGGAATATTAGTATTTGCATGTATATTAGAGAAAACATAGATTCAAGGTATTTAGGGTTGCATGTACACCATAGGAGTCTTAGAATGCTCAAAACCCAACAATATTTAACTAATAATTATTCATTTTTGTATAGCAACTCGACGAGTTGGAAGCCCCTAACTCATCGAGTAGAGATGTTTCAGATCGTACGTTTTAGTGACCAACTCGACGAGTTGGGAGGTATCAACTCGACGAGTTGGCTAGGTGAAATGAAACCCTAAATTCAGGGTTTTGCACCCTATTTAAACAACATAAACCTTTCATGTTGGCCTCATTTTCCATTTACATTGTCCTAACCCTAAAGATTGAAACCCAAAAGCTACTTTGAGTGATTGTGAGCCATTTTGGGTGTTTTTTGTGTGTGTTGAAACCATTGGAATAAGGAAACGCTTGAAGACTCAAGAATAAGCTTATAGATCCAGAATCCTTGCCTCATCCATGACACTTTTTCTGGTATGAATCTTGAACCTTGCCTTATAGTTGTTTAGATCTTCTTTTAGGGTTATTTTGCTTGGTTTTAGTCCAAATATCATGGTTATTGGGAATTGGACGTCCCAAATGGGTTAACACTTCATATTTAGGGTCTTGAGGGGTTTTCATGGCATAAAGGTGCCAATTTTATGGTCCTGGAACTCCCATTCAACCTTTAGACCTTCATTTTGGTATTTTGGAGATTCTAATGACCATGTATGTAGAGAAAGCTAGAACTTTATGTGATCTTTCAGTCCTTAGAGTCCAGATCTATGACCTCATGGTCTATCTTGTAGTTTTGGTGATGTTTGAATTATGACTTTGGCCTTTTTGGGTTAGGGTTTGATCTTAATCCCTTTAGGAAAGGTATTAATGGGTACAGTTGGAAACTTTACCCTTCTAGTGACATTTTTAGTCTAGATCTAGAGTATAGGGTGTAGATCTGAAGAATAATGGCTTAAAGCATTAAGAAGAATTAACAGACTGGGAACTCGAGGAGTTCACGGAAAGACTTGATGAGTTGTATTGAGGTGTCCTACTAGTAGTTGTTTACAGTAGAGATGATTGTCTTTGTGATAATTGTCTAGTATGCTACTATCTGTTGAGATTTATGTGCTTGTATGCTATGTTATTACGTGGTAGTGGTAAGGGTGAAGTAGACCCCGTAATCGGTCGAAAGAGATCGAAGGGGTAGGCCAACACCCATATATGTTAGGTAGTATGTGATTTATGTGCTTATATTCTAGGATATTATGTGGTAGTGGTAGGGGTGAAATAGACCTCGTAACCAGTTGAAAGATACGGAAAGGGTAGGTCAACACCTAGATATGTTAGGCAGTATCCGGATGAAAGAGACCGAAGGGGTAGGCCAGCACCCAAGTATGCTAGGTAGTATCCGGTTGAAAGAGACCGAAGGGGTAGGCCGACACCCAGATATGCTCGGTGATAACTGGTTGAAAGAGACTGAAGGGGTAGGCCAGCACCCGGATATGCTAGGCAGTATGTTATTGTATGGTATGTGGTATGATGGGGAAACGCACTAAGCTTCGTGCTTACGGTTTTCAGATTTGGTTTCAGGTACTTCTACTTCGAAAGGAAAGGAGTTGGCATGATCGCAGCGCATCACACTATGATTTTCCGCACATGATATCTTTGGTAGTTGTACTCTAATGTTATTTTCTTATAACATGTTTTGGATATTGGTTTTTATTATGATATGAGATGACACTATTGATGTTTTCAGACTACTGATTTTTATAATTACGTAATTAAAAATAAAAAATTTGGTCATGAATTTTTGGATGTTACATCTTTCATTATAACTAGGGTTCGAAAACCCAAAACTCAACCAAATGATGAATCAAGCTCTTAAATGCAAGGCTTAATATTAGAATCATAATCTAAGATTGATTCAACACTCATATATCTTCTAGAACTTCATTATTAATTTAAAATTTTGAATTCTACTTTGAGAATCAAACCCTAACATGAAGGAGTTGGAAAGATAAGGTGAGCTTATACCTTCTAGAGCCTCTAATGGTTAAGTTAAGTATAAATTTCCTATTCTCCTTTACAACTTGCATTAAATTACTATCTTCTTCTACAAATCGCCATGAGAAAGCCTTCCCTCTCAAATCTATCTTTCTCTTTCTCTCTCGCAATGGGGAAGAGATTAGTCACATGCTTTCATATCTATGATTAATTGGCAAGAATAACCTTACAAACTAGCTACATACTTTACATACTTTTATATGTATGATCGGCAAGAATAACCTTTCTAGTTTCTTATTTCCATGTTATGACACTATTTGCCATAAACTTTTAAGAAAACTTCCAAAGTATAGCCTATTTCATCATAAATCTAACAAATTAGTCTTTTGACTAGGTTAATAATAGTTTCGGAAAGTTTGATCAAATTGACACTTCTAGTCCTGATCAAATTGACACTTCTAGTCCTTACTTAAAGGGTGAGGGATGTGAGCCCATTTTTATTAATTAATGATAATATTACTGAAATATATTAGAAAATTTTTTTTAAAAAAAAGAGATACTTAAGAAAGCAAA